GTAAATGCATAGGAATTGGGTGGTATGTATGTAAATGCCCCAAAATGAACATTTAGAGCACAACACAATAAGCACATTACTACAATTCTTCTAAATGCTTCAAATTTTATTTTGCCACAAAGGTGTTGTAAAAAGTAAATAAAATTAATTAACGTGAATAGAAGCTTTAAATATAAGTCCTCTTGACCAATAAATTGCAATGAAAAACCACAATCTCAACAATAAAACTGATAAAGCAATAAAGCATGATATCTTACCCCCACAAGGTTTATCAAGCTTCTCCTTCAATGCATTTTCATTGGAAGACTTCACAGGATACAAGGAATTCACTTGATTTATCATATGTTGTTGTCTCATCCGTAGCATCTTCTGTAAGCTTTTGGCATTTCCGTGTCCCATCTTTCCAATTACCAATTTATTAGCCTCCTACCAAAATGGGAATTCCATTTAAAATTAGATACCAAAGATATGGGGCATCACCCAATACGCATGCATTTACATGTGTAACACCAAACTTTACTCCACCCAAATATTTCATATCACACAAAAAATACCACCGCTCTAACTTTGAAAAAGTGAAATACACTTTTTGATGCATAGGGAAGGTGGCATTTATGTAAAATTGAAGTTTGGGTGTTAGATATGTAAACACAACAGAATTGAGAGGTATGTTTGTAAATCTTCCAAAAAAAAATTTATATCAGTTGCCGAGCTCAATTAACGTTAATTACATAACACAAGATTGCCATGAATAGAAGAAGCTAGTACGCTTGAAAAAACACAACCCAGAAAAAATGAAAAGACTTGCCTAATTATTTTCAAAAGGATATGTCACGAAAATGAAAAATGTATATATTTGATCATAATTCAATCATACGAACCCAAATCCCCAAATATATATTTTTTGTGTCAGAGGGGAAATCTCTCAGATCAATAAAGCATAAACAGGTGCGTAATTAAGAACAGAGGCATGTTGGGTCCACCTGATTGGTTGCATTTTTATAGCACATCAAGCCAGGCAAGGAAATTGGAAACCCGAACAAAAAAAAAATAAACAACTCCATTATCCAAGCCAACCATCTCTAGCGGTTCATAGAAACCAGAAGCTAAAGGAATTGCATAAAAGAATGCCATTAACGAAAGAATCTACTAAAGATGCCTCTCCAAGCCTCCCTCAATCTCTCTATTCCCTTTTCCTATCAGCGTTAGTCTTTTAATTACTAAAGTTCATATTCCTTTCACAAGAGCTATAAAAGTGTCAAATTAGTGTCCCAAATCTCAGTGTGTGTTAGTGTCCCGAATATCAGTGTGCATTTTAGTACCTAGAGTCTATAAAAGTGTCAAATTAGTGTCCTAAATCTTTAAATTGGGGTTGAAATAATCCCACGAAGAGCTATTAGCGCCCCAATTTAAAGAATTCGGGACTAATTGAACACATAAGCTCTGAGATTAAAATGACCCCATTGAAATAGTCAAGGGACAATTTTTCCGCTTTACCCTCTCTAGCCACACTTTGGATGAGGAATAGAACATGACTCAAAGTTAATTAGGGATGACAATACGCAAAGGCGTTGGGTGGGAACAAGCCTAAAAGGAATTTTGCATCCATCCACATTCTGAGAAGCAAGCCATGTAATTGAAGTCTCCAGAAACAGCAAGGACGCAAAAAATGTCAAAAAGAACATTAGCTACGGGTAAAATAAGCATACCAAGTATTACCTATACAAAACAGGAAGCAGCATCGACATGACCACAACACTGTTAACAAAATTTTCCACTTCACTTCACAGAAGGTACTCCATATCATATTCACTTCAGGTGTCAGTTACCTGTAGCTGTTGATTGGCTGCACATAATTTCTTTCCAGCTACCAACAACGATTTAAGAGCAGTACAAAGCTGCTCATTTTTGCTTTTGACGTCCTCCTTCATCTCCCTCATCTGCATCACCATCTCCCCCATGGCAAGCTTCTTTGCCTCTAGCTGTCGTCTCATATCATCCAATTCATTGGACTGATGCAGATATTTCTGCCTGATCTGTTTTTTCCATTATGATATCCAGCAAATTAATCAATTAAAGATTAAAATAAAACACCAGCATAGTCACTTTTCATTCAAACAAGAAGAAAAAAATGAAAAAGAAAAAACAGAATTCACGCAAAAACCGATATGTTTGTGTTTGTTTTGGAGAAATTGGGTAGAAGTAGCTCTTGTTTAGCTCAAAATTACAATGTGCTTACTTATTTTAAGTGGAATTCATAACAAATTAATTATCACAGAAAATTAGAACATATGCATATTTTTAATAGTTCTCTGCCCATGGTTTAAGTCCAGAGAAAAGTTAAAGTAAACCTAAAGTATTACAAACATTAGGTTTTTTTCATTCTTCAATTTGACTTTTTTTTCCATCAATCCAAAAAAAAGAAAGATAAATCACTCTTCTAAAGAATTTCTCCTCAACCAAACAAGTGGGGGAAAACTATTTTTAAATAAGTTCACCAACCATTTCATTTCCACTCGCTCAATTCCTTCAAACCGAACAGAGCATAAACCGCTGCAGTATTTCCAAATGAAGTTTACTCTCAGGAGGAATACACCAGAGAAAAGAAGAGGGAAAAGCAAGGAAAATGAATCTCTCACTAATCCATTGAAATCATACTGGATTACACTACTGAATGCTGCAGGAGATGTGGTGGCATTGATGGTGTTAGATTTGATGCAATCCTGGATGTAGTGATTAATTTATATATAATTGATTTTGGTGTGAAACACGAGGTTGTCTGTAAGGGCGAATGCTAAGATGCCGTCAATTAGAGTGGGCTGTCAAAACTAAGAATAATTTTGAAATCCTAAAGAAGACTTTATAGCGAGATGATGTCAGTATTGGTTGGGGAGAGGGCTCAGTACTCTACCTCTGTTAATGAGGAGAAATTATTGCATCTGGAGTCCGGACGCCGGTTGCGTCCGTTGTACGGACGTGATACACTAATTGCGGGAGATTTTTTTCTTACCGGCGATCAGTGCATCTTGTCCATTGTTCGGACGTTATTCTACGTCCAGACTCCAGACGCAATAATTTTTCATGAATTAGTGGAGAATTTTGGTTTGCTTTTGACACACCATTTAACAAGGGGGGTGTGATCCAACAAGGTATAGTAGTCGGTGATAGGTTTCTGATAACTTGGATCGCCTACCTTATCGGAGTTTGAATATGCATGGAGGATTGATGTGTCATTGCAAATGGTGAGGCCTTTTGTGACCACTCCTTTAACATAACACAACATGCATTTTAACAAATTGAAGATAGGGAAATTTCCTACAAATGAGAGGCCCGGATTTGTGATTGTAGGTATTTGAGGGATCTGACTCGTGATGATAAGTGTGGGTTGATATGTTTTTGATTGTCTGCGCAGCGGTCGCAGGATTGGAGCTAATGGAATTTTGTAACTGCATGTCGTTGTTCAAGTTGACCCTATTAAGAATATAGGATGTACATTTGGATTGATGGTGTCATAAACCTTGAGTGTTATATGTCTGAATGCCAAGAAACATTGATATTGGGCCAAGATTTCTTTTTTAATGTTTTTTTGGGTTATTTAAGTAGTTTGCTCATGACATGAACGTTACTTGTAAAGAGTAAACCATTAGGTAGATGAGGATGTACAGTTTTGTTTGATGGCAATTGCAGATCACGGATGATAAATTAGCAATGTTAAAGTGGGACCCACGTGTTTGGAGAGTGGTTGAGAATGTTGTGCACCATTGGCAAGGAGATTGTATGAGTCAACATTACTATAGTCACATTCTTACTCCTTACTAAACTAAAGATCCTCTAACGTGGCTTCGAACTACCATCAAACAAATTTTCAGACCATATCTACAAGGAGATATATAGTCACTCTCCCCTGATGTAATAGGTTAATAAAATCTCTTGCATACGGCATTTTTGCAAATCTGTATCACTTCAACATGTTGGGGCTAGATGCTTCTCGAAGTCGTCACGCAATTATGCAACTAGGTCGGCCCTCAGGCCCCGCATACACATACACATCTTGTTGGATCGAGAAATTGCATCTCCTCCAAACATCAATAAAAAATGAAAAAGATAGAGTACCAAGTTGAGGAAATAGATATAGTTTGACTGGTGAGCATATCAAAAGCTTTGGGTAGGGAGATGTAGACAGTTTCATTGAGAGTTTCATGGAGGATTGCAATCTAGTTGGGAGATAGGATGTTTTAGATTAATTGTGATGGTGAGCTATACACAAAAGGTTGACATTTTAGCTACTATGTTGTATGTTTCACCGTATTCTATTTGTTGTTGTTGGTACCTCTATGCAACTATTAGGCTTTGTATGTGGTGATGGTCTTGTAAGAATTGAATTTAAGGCTATAAGCCCATTTGCAATAAAGGAGTAGTTGTTGGAGTGGAGAGGTTGACGTTGGTGTTTTTGTTGTTGGGGCTTGACAAAGGAGTTATATCTTCTTGTAGTGATTGGTTAGCAATGGTAGGATTGTTTCTATAGGTGAGAGGATTGCCTTCGTACAGGTAGAATGGTTGTTCATTTTTGTTGATGGATTGAGGTTGGGATTAACAATGGTGGTTATATTATGTTTGAATGAGATTGATTCCATGATGAAAGTTTTCAGTTGAAAGAAAGCTAATATGTAAAAGTTGATTTGAAAAATCAAACATAATGAGAGAGAGATATGTGCCTGATTGTTGAATTGCGGCACGTGTAACTTTTATGGAGTTGAGTGTCAACTACTAAGACATAAAGAATAAAACGGGCAAAGAATTTATTTGAAAAGAGAAATTTTAGCCATCCAAAATATAGGCGCTCAAAAGTTGTTGAAGCATGGAGATTTGTGATGAATAACTTTGAAATGAGACTTTTTATGGTGTTTGATGAATGTAGTATGTTGATTGGGTATGTAACTGTGAGGAGAACATTAGTCATCAATGTTTAGGGAATGTTAGTGATGAGCATTAAAGCACAAGTGATTTTGAGTAAGCGGCGGTGCATGCGTTCAAAAATGTTGTTTTGAAGTTTGTAGGATTTTGTTTAGAGAGTTTTGTCAACATATTCACCACTTTTGTTGGTTCATGATTTTTAATAGAATATTGACATTACCATTCCATAGATTGTTTGAAGTTCATGATTTTTGTGGTGGATACAAATTTATTTAGCATGCAATAAATCCAACAATAACAAGAGTAATCATCAATAAAGATGATTTGGTAGTTTTAGCCATTTATTGAAATGGCTGGGGGAGGTTTATAACTATGATTAATGGAGATTGAAAAAAATAATCGACAACTTTTGGATATGTTTCAGGGAGTACAAGAGTGATATTTGGCTTGAATGTCAATACAAGGAAGATATTTGCTAAAGGTTGAAATGTAGATGTCTGAGGCATTCTTGTCATAAAATTGTGCTGGTGTTGATAGAAGCCAAAGTTATAGATGTAGATGATAAAAGAGACAGTGAATGTCAGCAAAGCGGGTAGTTTTCTATGGGATGGTCCCCAGAAAATGGTCAAGTTGGTTGGCCAAATCTTTAAATGTGGTCAAATTTGTCAAAATGGAGAAATCAAGGATTAGGATTAGCTAGTTTTTGAACGAATAGGATATTATAGGATAATTTAGGGACATGGAAAACATCGCATAGGTATAACTTTTGAAAAATTGGCAAACTGTCTCGTCCTATGTGCACGATGGAAAGTTATTACCCATTGCCAGCTGTAATTTGTTGATTGTCAAGTTATGGCTACATGTGGTGCAAATAAGTTGCATCTATGGTGAGATGGTTTATTGCTCCAGTATAAATATGCCAACCAATTTCATTGATGGTGTTCCAACAAGAAGAGCTTGTAATTTAGTAACGATGGACTGGAAAATAAATCAATCTTGTATCAGCATTTAGTAGTTGAGTGTCCTATTTTATTACAAATTTGGCAGGTTACAAATGTGGAGAGTCTAGCCTCTTTGGATGTGGGGTATAATTGAGAGTTTGTGAGGTATGGGGTGTTCTTTCTTCCGTTGGTATATTATTAACAGCTTCACCCTCTAACCCAAACAATAGAAATAGCTGCGGGATCACAAGGTTGAGCCACAACTTGGAGTTCACAGGGAGCTTGATTTATTTCCTCACAGCATAGAAAGAAATAGAGGTTGTCTATGTTGATTGGTTGTAGGCTGGTTCTGAAAGTAAGTTTAAAGCTTGAGTGTGCAATGAATTATATTTTCTTGGTCAAGGGAGGAGCCTACTGCAGCAACAGCATTGACTTTGGACTTGAATGCAGAGGTCATGGATTGGTCTTTAATGAAAAGGTTTTGAATCTCATTTTTTAGCTTGATTGTGTGGGATCTATTGTGGTGGGTTGGAGGGAGTGTTGGATAATAGACCAAATGGCATTGCATGAGTTAAGGTTCAGAACACAAGGAAGGAGGAGAATTGAAATCGTAGAATTGAGTATGATAACAAGGTTTTGGTT